CCAGCCCCATCCGTTAGTCCTAGAGTCACTGCCTCTCCCAAGAGCAATGGAGAAGACCAGACTAGGGCCTCCATGACCCAGCCACCCTGGCGGGCCCTCCTTTCAAACAGCCATCTGTCCGTACAGATGGGTGCCAGCCACCCTTGGACTGCCCTGCTTGGTGCCCACTCACAGCTCTGCAGCCCAGGAGCTCCACTGCCCTTGCTCAGAGGTTTCAAAGTCGCAGACCAACTCTGGGCAACCAGGGCCTCTTGGGCCCCTCCCTGCTCTTGTGTCCCCACTGCCAGGGTGATACCAATCTCCTAGCAGCAGCTCTAATCACTTCCCCCTGCTTGGTTACATTGGGAGACCAGAATCCTAGAAATCCTAGAAAAGGGCCCCTTTCTCCCTAGCTCTGGTACCTGCAGAAGCAGGGCCATCTAAGAGAGGACATAACCCTTGCAGCGCAGGTGACATCTGTTCATGTCTGGTGTGGCCTCCCAGCACCAGCATCAGGGAATGGGAATAACGTCAGAGGCGCCCACACATGAAGGGAGAGGCATCTGTGGCAGAGGTCCTGCTTTTATCTCCAGAGTAGCGCTGTCCCACACGGCATCCAAAGACTGACACCTAAGGTGTCTGTCGCCTGGCCTACACACACGTGCACATACATGTACACACAGCCATGCACACATGCACGTCTGGGATTCCACTCCTCCTGGTCCCCCTGCTCTGGTTGTAGCTGACTGCCAAGAGCTGAGGCTCTGGGGAGCCACCTAGGAAACTGGCCCTCTAAGGTGCTCCCAGGAGCACTCAGCTGCTCTCCGGCAAGGAAAATGGCTGGCACCCACTGAGTACCAGGCATGTCTTCTGGGAGCAGAACCTGGAGGCTTCCTGTGTCAATCCCTTCCCTGTGACCCTGCTGCTTACTGCCCCCATCCTAGTCCCCTCATTCCTAGAATCTCCAGTTCTCCACACAAGAAAGAATGGTTTGTCTGTGTTGCTAGTAGGGTCATGTTATTCCCTGCCTGGACACTTCCGTCAGGCTCCCTGACACTCTTGGTATGAAGACCAGTCCCTTCAGCACACCTTTCAGGGTGTCCCAGGACGGTCCCTGTCCCCGTCCCTGCCTTCCATGGCGCAGGGCTTTGCTCTCAGCCCTCGAACGGTGCAAATCCTCCCACTCTCCCATGCTGTTCCCTCTGCCTCGGTTACTCTTCCTAGCCAGGCCTCAACTGTGCTGACCTTGTCCTGAGAGCAGTTTAGCCCCTTTCCTGGCCTGTGACTCTAGCTGCAGCCGTCCATCCTTGTCACTCTGCCTTGTCACTGTGGTGGCTCCAGCAGCTAAGGGGAGTGACCACCCTCAGTGATGAAAGAGAAAGAAGCAGGCCCTGTGTCTGGCCATCCTCAGAGGCAGTGAGCAGCCTCGGAACAAAGTCTGTTTGATCACAGCCTCTTCATCTAGGAAAGTAGGATACGGATGTTGCCTGCAGCCTGTAGTCCCAACGAAAGCAAATCCCGCTTTCCTAGCTCACTCCATCTCCAACCTGCTGGCTGTGAGGGGAACTCTGCCCTCCGAGTTACAGGGCACCTCTGCCCAAGAAGGGGCAACGCATTTTCATTTCAAATGTGACTGGCTAAATGGCTAGCCACAGAGCCCACCTGGGTTTGCACAGCAAACATCGGCTATCTGATTAACACCATGTACACGAAACTCTATCCCTATGAGCCAGAGGTTGAAGCAAAACAGGCGAGTTAATTGCTATACAGGAATTAATATCAGCAAGCGTAGATATGGAAGGCGGCATGAACAGTGAAGCTAAAGACCCATCAAATTCGGCAGCAAGCCCTGAAGAACAGGAGTGGGCTGCCCTGCCACCAAGTTCTCATGTGACTGTCAGGGGAGCCTGAAGGATGCCATAATTATAGGACAGTGTTATCTTCCCCAGGAAGACCACTCATCCCACCCCAGAATTCATCCCTTTCCCCCTGGGCTGGGCCTAGTGCGTCTCACATTGTAGTATCTGCTAGCTACTGGCTTCCCTGAAAGGCTGAGACCCAATAAAACTGGGCTCCTCTGGTCCCCAGTGGACTGTACAGTGCCTAGAACATGACTGGGTGAGTTTGCTAGGTGAGACGGATGGATGGTTGAATGGATTATAGGGAGAGATGGTTGTCTTTCTCTTGCCAGTACCCTCACTGGAGTTGTTGTTGGTAACGAAGAGCTGACAGATGGAAGGTTTTCCTTGGTAGACTTTAAAAAAAAAAATGGTTTACTGGTAGAGCAATTAGACCAGAGTGTGGATACAAAGAAGGTCCAGGAAAGAGGGGCTCAGCTGAGCTGCCCTGTGGGGCTAAGGAGGGCCCCCATTTCTGGCCTCCTAGAGCCCAACAGATTCCTTGGTTAACCCACACGAAAGCATAGACAGTAACTCCCGGGGCATGGCTTCGTACAGTCTAGCAGGGCTCTGGGGCAGGTGCTTGCTTTAGGTGCATTTACTTGTTTCTCCCAGGCCACATGCATTTGGTGCAGTGGCAGCAGGTGGCGACCCCCGGCCATAGTTAAGCACCCGCAGGTGGGAAGAGCCACAACACTAACCAGGGCTCACACTGCCAGGCTGGCTTGGAAAGCCAATACATGTGTAAGATACCTAAGAGGCCCCTCCAGAAAGGAGACCCTAGCCAAACCTATCCACGCACTAGAGGTCCCCATGAGGCTCAGGGAAAGCAGCAGGCTCAGGAGATCCTTCCTCAGAAGCTTGGTTTTTCCAACGAGAAAGAAGAATGAAGAGATTGTTGGGTGCACTTATTAAATACCTACTGTGTGCACGGCACTAAGCCAGGCACTAGAGTATCCAGCCTTCATAGTCTCCATTTTATCCTGTTATAACACTGCCATTATAGCTGTGGGACCACATATTCAGAGGGAGGGCACCTAATGCAGGGAGGGAGGGATGATGTGAGGATTCTCACAGGAGGGAGAAACAGTGGGGGAAAGTCCCACATGTCACATGTGTGCACTGTTACAAATGTGTTTGTGTGCACATTCCTGTCAATCTCTGTGTATTCTCATGTCCGTGTGCAAATGTGTGTTTATGTATATGCATGCATGCCTGCAGAAATTATATGCATTCCTGGGTGAAAAAGTGTGGACATCTTGATCATGTGTTTGTCTATATATTGCATGTGTTCATTTTTGCACATATGCATAAATTTAAATGTGCGCAGGGATGCATATATGTTTGTATATGTGTACACTTCTGTTTTCATGTTGGGATTTTTGCACATGAGCCTAGTTTTATGCACATGACATATTTGTTCACGTGCTTGCACAGATGTCAGTGTATGAATTAGTTTCATTGTGGGGGGCAGTGGAACTGTGGGAGCTCGGGATTGCAATGGTGAGCCAGGCTGACTAGGGGCCTTAGGAGTGGTGAGCCAGCACTGACTAGTTCCTGAGAGCTGGAGGAGCCTGAATCAAGCAACAACCACTGGGATGAATCTGCCTTCAAAAGCAGAACTCTGGTTTGTGTCTGTCATGGACAGGCAGTTGGGGTTCTAGGCTCCAAGGACACAGCTCCCATCCTATGTGTGTGGTGGTCTAGCTGCCTGCTCCCATCCCCAGCAGTATAAAACAATTTCCTTGGCCTGTCCAGGAAGGCAGATGACCTCACTGGACTCTTTCCATCTCTCGCTTTCATAGAGAAATTACAGTTTATAATTGGATGAAATCACGCGGGTGGTAATAGCAATAATGGCTTAGGCTGTAGCTACCACTGCCCCCTCTGCAGGAACAGGCTTATCTTCCCTCCTAACCGACCTCATTCCACACCTGCCTGGGACTGTGCCCACCTGCTGCTTGGCATCTGCAGCCCTTCCTGGCCCTGGCTACTCTGAGCAGCTGTCTGGCTTCCTGGGAAGCATCCCTGAGAGCTCCCCTTACCCCATCGGTCCTTCATACACTGACCACATACTTTACTCTTCCCATGTGTCCTCTATAGTCTCTGTGGGCTGCAGCCATGGACAGCCACCTCTGCTCAGCACATGGCCATATTGAATATGCACCCTAGATGTGCAGGCTGCAGGCACTGAGCAGGCCTTGAACCAGCCACCTTTGGTCCTACAAAGGAAAGTACTTAGATGCAAGTGAGCCTAACCAGAGCCTGTGCTGTCATTAAAGCTCCTTTCCAAAGAGGGGGCGCCTGTGGAGGAGGGGGTGCAGTACCAGAGTTGGGCCTTCCTGGCTGGCTGCTAATGAGAGGGAGGGACAGCTTTGTTTTGTATTCCTGGCGGCAGCCTGCAGCCAGCGCCCTGGTCCCTACAGCGCGAAGGGCAGCAGGATGTGGAAGGCTGGCCCCTCAGGAGACAACTGAAGCTGCAGCAGGGAGGTCAGGGACACTGGAGACCCAACTTTGTGGACCCCTGGTGAGCCAGAAAAGTTGAGTTGTTCTGGAGGCCAGGGCCAGGATAGCCCAGTTGGAGCCTTAAAATGATACTTAGTTAAGAGAAGCTTGTGCTGGGGAAACGGAGGCTGTTCTAGGCTGGGTGTGTAGCTCTGCAAGGCCAGGAGCGCCCAAACTTTTTTTTAATTATTCACTCATTTATTTATTTCCCCTGTGTGTGGTCAGAGAACAACTGTGAGAGTCAGTTCTCTCCTTCCACCATATGGGCTCCCAGGGACTGAACTTGGGTCTTCAGGCTTGGTGCTAGATGTCTTTACCCACTAAGTCATCTTGCCAAGCCTCCAAACTTCATTTTTCTCCGCCCAGTCCTTGCAGGCAGTTACAAGGAAGGGTTCTGCATATTCCCTGGATTTAAAAAGTGATCAGTGGTGGGGACAATGACCTCAGACCCTGACCAGGCTTGCAGCAAAGTAGTATTTGTGCAAGGAAGGGGATCTAGGGATGTGGCTCAGCAGTAGAGCGCATGAAGAGAAACTCTATCTCGGAAAGAGAAAAAGAAACAAACAAGCCCAGCTACTGGGAAGTGGTGAGAACAGAGGGGCTGTAGTCATGGCTGCCTGTAGCACTTGTCCCTGGGGCTCTTGATTTCCTTGATTTGATTGTTTGTGTTGCCTTTGGCAGGTGAAGAAGTGGGGAGTAGGAGAGAAGGGCCCCACTCTGGACAGCTGCACCCAGTGGCTGAAGCAGGAATCACGCACCCTTCTGCCTCACCCACTCCAGAAGCTTCTCTCCAAGCAGGAGCAGTCAAGCATACCAGCCCCCTCCCAAAGTGGCTTCCCAAAGCGGGGCACACAGGCCTGACAGCTCAGCAGTGCGAGTGAGGTGACTGCAGCCTGTGGTGAACATCTGAACTCCTCAGAGGGGTAATAGGCCCCCCCAACAGATGCAGCCTGAGTGGCAGGAATACTGATTCTTTGGAGAGTGGCTCTCTCTCAGCTCTGTCACGCAAGAGCGCTCTCTGCACTGAGCCATTCTGCCAAGTGACTTAAAGGGATTTAAAAAGAAAGAAAGAAAAAAAAAAACCTTGGTAAAGAAAAAGGGGGTAACAGCCCCACAGAGGCATTTCAGGAGAGGTGTGGCCTCTGGACAAAGGACCAAAGTTACAAAGAGCTGCGGTGGAAGTGGTGGCCGGTGAGAGGCCACACTCCCCGGGGACTGGCACTGGGCTGTGGGGCATGCCCTGCTCAGGAGTCCCCGGGGGTGCACACAGAAAACATACCTCTCACTCCAGAGAGCCAAGCCTGCAGTGCCCGTGCCTGGGGTGCCAAAGATGCCACTTGGGGCCTGCAGCCACATCTGAAGCCTAACCACAAGAAAGACTTCAAGACCTTCTTATTCTCTGCGGGCCTCATTGTTCCTGCTGCCCCGGAGTTGCCGCCTGTGGTTGAGTGGTTCTGAGTTTGTTGGTGGCATGTGAGCGTGGCCTGGAACTGTGACGCAGTGACCCCATTGGGACCCAGTGGCTCCAGGGAACAGCAGCAGAGGAGGTAAGAGCCTGCGGCAGGGGGACCAGCGGGGCTTCCTGGTGGCCCAGATAGGTGACAAGAGTCTTTTTCCACCAGGAGGGAGCACAGTGCATGGGAGGGACAACTGAGTCCTGCCCTCTGCAGGCCCCCAACAGGAAGGTAGGGATCTTCTGCAGGGCTCTGCCAGGTGTACGGGAGACCACCTGGGAATGAGTCACAGCAGTGTCTTCCCCCTGGACCTCTCCCTGCCAGGCTTGCTAGTCACCTGCTCTGTACAAAGGGGACAGCCATGAGACTTAGTGATAGGATAGGCAAGAGCTTAGGGGACCAAGGCCATCAGCCTTGATACCTGCTATCCTTGAACTAGCAAGAATCCCAAGATCCTTTCCTTCCAGGCCTGCCCCACTGTGTGCCGAGAGATCCACAGTAGGGCTGACCAGGAGCCACTACCCAGCATCATCTCACTGGCCTCCAGGGCATCCCTTTTGTTAGAGGGTAGAGACAAGTCCAGAGAGGTCAAGTGATTGCCCCACAGCTACACAGCAGGTGACTGGCTGGACCAGCTCCTCCTGGACTCCCAAGGGTGCAGAGGGGAGTGGCAGTACCTCTGCACACAGTAATCCCAGCAACCTCAGAACCCCTCAGCGCCCTGGGCAGGGCAGGGAAGCCCCAATTCATTACCAAGATGGAAAATGACACTTCCCCACACTCTGCCCCAAGAGAGGGGCTGATTTATGACTGCGCCAGGGCCTGGGACATCCGTCAGAGCCGTGCGCTGCACACGCCGTCTGCGGGGGCATTAATAGCCGTGTTATTAGCCACTGGTGTGAAGGATGCCCTGCGGATGGGCTATTTGCTGTTATTTATTATAAAGGCACGACAACCTAGCAGCTGGGCCGCAAGCACACAGCTGGACCCCGCCTGCATATGGTTCTCCTCTCTGCATCTTCAGCTTCCCCTCAGCCCCTAGGAGGAGCTAGGGGATAATTCCTGGGGCCAGGCCAAGCCAGAGGGGAACAGCAACCACCTCCCGCGGCAATCCTGTTGCTTGAAGTGCTGATGGAAAAATTTGCTCAGCTGGCTTTGTGCAGCCTCGCCTTACCCAGAGGTGGAGAAACAGAAAGGAGCACACTGGGCTTTGGGGGCAGAGGTGCCCTGGATGGGCTGTGGTGGTATAAACGAGGGCAGGTCCTCTCCTTAAGTGGACCTCTCCTGTGTACACATGGGCTATAATCGGCTGGAAAGAAACAAGGCCAGCTATTCCTAAGAGACCCCCTGGACTGACTGGTGGCTGGCCAGAGGTGCTGGTGAGCTGGGGCACGTGCCGTCACCTGCTCTTACAAACCTATGGGGAAGGGTTTGAGAGTTCAGACCTCGGAGGAAAGACCACTAGATGGCTGTTACTGGGCCTATCTCTGCACATCTAAAAAAGCAGATAGATGGGCTCCAGGTCCTCTTCCTCCCACTCCCAGGGTGCTGTCAGTTTTCTCCTCCTGCATGCATTCATGGCATGGGCACTTATGGAGATGTGCCTGCCGCTGGACAGTGCCAAGGTGGCCACCAAGTTGGGGCACAGCCAGGCCTTCTTGGGCCTGCTTCTCCAGAGCAGCTGAATTTGAGGAGCTCTGAGGCCCGGGTGGGTGGCCAGCTCTTCATAGTTCAGACAGGACATTTTGTCTCTTGTGACTGCTATAATGAGGACACCAGGTCACCATGGCCTCTGATGCTGATGGGAAGGTTCCACCTCCTCTTTTCTCCAGCTACCTAGTTCTGGGCTGCAGATTCTAGAGCCTGCCTCGTTTATTCAAGATGTGGGCTAGGGAGATGGCTCCACCAGTAAAGTGCCTGCTGCATAAGGTACAAGGACCTGGGTGTGAGATCCCAGTGCCCACATAAAAGGCAGGCATGGTGGTGCATGTCTGTAACCCTAGCACTGGAGGTGCGGCCAGAGACAGGTGGCTCTCTGGAGCTCCCTGAGCAGTCAGCCTAGCCAGTCAGTGAGCTCTGAATTCTGTGAGAGACCCGTCTCAAAAGATAAGGTGGAGAGTGATAAATACATCCCATGGCAACCTCTGGCCCTCACATACATACAGATACAAAAGATGTTTACAGAGCCTCTCTGGGCCAGGCTCATTGCGGGGGGACAGGATAGACCACACCTAAGAAGCAGAAGTTTAGGTTCAGTGGGAAGAGCCAGACACGTAATGGATGACCAAGAAACAGGAGGTCACAATTAGAAATCCTCATTCAGAACAAGGTCGATTGATTCCCTGCTCCTGAGAGGCCTCAGCCTCCATGCCAGCCTGGGATTCATCCTGATCAGCACTTTCTCCATACCTCCTCCTCTCTTCCCCTCAAGCGGTCCAGGCTCTGAGGTAGCCACTCACAGGTAGCCACTGAGCTCAGCCACAAAGATCCCGGACCAGCCCTGGTCTTGAGGTCTGTCACTTGCCCTGCTGGTCATTCTCGTCATTCTCCCTCCCACTGGCATTAAATCTGCTTCTTTTCCCGCTCCCCAAAGGAATTAAGTCTTAGTGGAGGCAGCTTTACTCCAAAGGGACCCAGGCGGCAGTATCAGGTGGAGGACCGTTTCATTAAGAGATGCTGCGAGAGAAAGAAACAAAATTACATGTGTCTCCTTTCATCTCCCTCCCCCTTCCTGGCCTGCATAGTTTAATATCGAACACTGCTATCAATATAATTAACCTCCTAAGACACAATTTGAAAGCCTTGTTTTTTAAAGCGATTCACTTTCTCTGAAGCCAAGGAGGACATCCTTGATGCCCAGCCCCACCCAGCGGCCCACGTGCTTAGGTGAACTCGCAGTTCATTTCTGGTGGATTTGCATACCTGTCTGCAATTACTGCCAGTGATAACGGCTGATACATAATGCATGCGGCATGAAATTAGAAAAATAATTAACTTTAGATTTGAAAAGAATCCCCGCCCCCGACTCTCCGGGCATTCCAGATGCTGAGTGCTACCACTGGACAAGGACTGGGAACTGAGCTGTTGGGGTGATGGGTGAGACTGGCTGGCACTCCAGAGCAGCTAAGACAAGAAAGTGTTAGAGGGTCAGGGCATGCAGAAAGTGCCCCCAGGGTATCTGCTGGACAAGCTTCAAGTTCCTGGGCCTCATCTATAACTCACATCTGGACCAGTGAAGTAATGTGGCCAATGAGGTGACCCATCTCTCTTTGTGACCAAGCAGTGCTCAGCTAACTGAGAGTAGCCCGTGTCATCCTCACAAGGACCCATGGGAGGAGACTTGGTCCCATTTCTCAGATGAAGCCCTGAGACTTGAAGCTACCCCTCTAGACAGGCCACGGCTGAGAGAAGGCAAGTCTTGTAAGGAGAGGAGCTTGCCTGGGAGGCCTCCATTCTTAGACCTCCTCCTTCAGGCTTGTTTGCAGCCAAGCCCCAGAAGTAGCTGTCAACTACCGGATGAGAAACCGGGGGACCGTTCATTAATTTTTGACGGAGATCGAGACAGCCCCAGCAAGGTAGTAGGTGCTAATCACTGCACCCTGTGGGCGGGGCCCTCTCAGCCTTCTCCCAGCAGGATAGGGCGGGGTAGGTGCCAATCACCTCACCCTGTGGGCGGGGCCCTCTCAGCCTTCTCCCTTGTGGAGCTGAATGTTGCTTCTAGCTTAATCTGCCTCATTATCAGACTCAGCCTTGGAAGGACCCGGAGGCCTCAGAAGATTTAGGAAAAGTCACAGTGAATTCCAGGAGGGGAGAAGATACTACCAGCGGCTCCAGTTTGAAGATGGAGGAGGAGAAACTGGAAGATTTGGGGTTCACATGGGCAGTCTCCATTATTCAGCTTCAGGAAACTTATATCCACATGAGTACATGCATTTGCCCTCTCCACAGGCATGTTATGGTCACAGGTCACCTCCTTTCTAATAGCCCTGTCTGGGACCTCATCTCCGCCCCCAACATTGGAGGTGGGGAGAAGCACAAGGCTTAGGTCAGTAGCATTGTGGTATATGACATTATGTTCTCTTGCTGTCTTTGGGAAGTGCCTGCGATGACCTCTTTAAATAGAAAATGGGATCACTAAGTTCCATGGCAGCCACAAGCCTGAGATAGTGTCCTCAGAAAAACTGGGCTGTGGCCACAGGGCCTTTGGCATCAGGTGTACACCTGCCCCTCCCCAGGTCTGTGGGAGAAATAAGAGGAAGGGGCGGGCTGAGGCCGTTACAGGACAGACACTGAGCCCAGCTTCCAAGATGAGAAGCGCACTTGGGGACATGGGGCAGTATGGAGTGACTTCTCCCCCAGGTCCAGCCAGGCCTTCTTCCCAGAAAAGTAGGATCCTCAGCAGCACATAACAAAGGAAACAGACCCAGGGAGGCTCTCCCAGGGCATGGGTTAGAGCTGGGACGGCCATGGGGTTCCAGCACAGGAGCCTGTGGCCCTTTTTACATGGTCTTCCTCCCTGGGACTGGGGCCATCTGGCATCTGTTCCTAATGGGAACTGAGACCATCCCTGATACTCAGCATCAGGACATTAGTCACCCCCTTCAGAGAGCTGTCTTCACTGACAAACAAAAAGAGGGCTAGGAGGCAAGGGTGGTCTGCCCATTCCTCCATATTTTCCCAGCCAGCTCAGTGTCCCCTCAAAGGCCATAAAATAACTGCTATCCCTTGTAGCATGTCCATGCTAGGCCTTGGATCTGTAGCTGCCCCTGCACCTGGTCTCAGTCAGTATCCCTCACAGGACTTGGGGGACACATCCGTGCAGGCACTAGACGGCCACGAAGTACAGCTAGGAGTTGAATTTTCCCAGCTGGTAGTAGTTTACAGACGCTGCTCAGCTACCTTTGCCAGGAAGCGTGGAAGCAGAGCTGGACTCTGGAGGATGGATCAGGGTCAGAGAAAATATCCAGAAGGAGGCGGTAGAGCTGAGGTCTGCAGGCAGACTGCATACTGGTCTGTGAGGCTGAAGGCAAGCCCACACTGGGACCAGAGTGGCAAGCGCATGTGCAAAGGACCTAGGGAAGCGGGACTGAGTGCAACCTACCAGATTGCTAAGGGCCCTGAGGTTTGGAAGGCTGAGCTGCAGCCCCACCCTTTCTCCCTCTCTATGGTTGCTATTTGTCCCTGGCTGGAAGGGGATGCAAGCACAGGAGACACAATAAGCACAGGGCATGAAGAAGAAGCACAGAAGGGGGGCTGAAGAGATGGCTCAGTGGTTAAGAGCACTGACTGTTCTTTCAGATAGACCCTGGTTCAATTCCCAGTACCAACATGGCAGCTCACAACTGTCTGTAACTCCACTTCCAAGGGACCCGACACCTATGGCAAAACACCAATGCACATAAAAAAGAAGAAGAAGAAGAAGAAGAAGAAGAAGAAGAAGAAGAAGAAGAAGAAGAAGAAGAAGAAGAAG